CCTTTTCTCCTTTTTTAAATTTCCCCTTGTCTTCCCTTTAGTTTTCCACCTTTTTATGTTCAAAGTAGCATTCCCCTTTTTCCCCCCCTCTGGGGAAATTCCAGCTGTTCGGGGCTGTTCTTTTTAACTCCCCTTTCCCCGAAAGCTTCAAATGCCTACGGTGGCTTTTCCCGCTCTCTTTTTTTTTGATCACTTTTCCCCTCCCATTCCTGCCAAACCCCTGTGTACACGATGGCTCTAAGTCTTCAGACGGCGTCCGGGTTGCAGCAGTGGTTTCCCGGGCAGCCCCCCGTGCGGGGACATTTACTATCTTCAGCTAGCTTTTTATTGGGTGAACTGTGTTCCTTCTTGCCCGACTTATTGTATTGCATCTATGCCCGTGTCATCATTTGTAGTTGTTTTCAGATCCCCTTTGTGCTCTACGGGGTATACGAAAATTTGATACAATTTTATCCCCCAAATTCTCCGTATCCAACCCTTTTGGGTACGCCGTATCTCTTCCAAACATAAAGATATTGTTTTTTGTTGGGTTCCCTGGTCATGTCGACGTTCAGGGGAATTAACGGCAACATGCGGGGCGGGCAGCAGTACATGGAAACCCACCCTTTCCTTTTCGAGGTGTTCCATTTTTGGGGCTTTTTGCTGCAATAGCTACCCCCCTTCGCACCCGTTTGGGAACAACTTTTGGGCCCAAATCTGCTCGGTAAAAAAATTCATTCTATTAAACCGAGCTAGGTTACTGGCCCCCTTTTTTGTCCCTCAGTGCCGAGGTTGGGGGAACCCCTCTCCCCGCCTTGCATTGGTCAAACTCGTTTTTACCATGGGTTTCATGGAGGCACCCCCCTTTTTCCCCTCTGTTAGCAGGTCAAATTCCAGTATCGATTTAAACCCCATTTTGTTAGACTGCCCCCTTATCAAAAAGGAAAACACGAGAATTTACCTCCAAGTTTGTCCCCTTTGTTTATACTCTCTTTTACCCTTTCCCCTTTTTGCTTATGGACCCCCCTTTTAAACCCGACTCCCCTCATTGACTTCTTGAAAAAAGAATGATTTTTCTCCACAAACTCTGATGGAAAAACTTTTTCGCACTCCCCTTAAACCCTTTCTATTCAGTCTCTTGCTTTCCCTTTTTTCCCCTTTTACCATCCACTGGGCCCCGCTGTTTTCCGTAACCTATTTCTCCCTCCCTCCCCTTTTTTCCACCTGATGCCCCCGCTTCCTTCCCTGCCCCGCAAACGCTGTATGTTTTTTTGGCTTAGCGCTTTTTTTTTGGGTTTTAATAATAAAAAATAATAATTTAATTTAAATTCCCTTTTTCCCTTTGGGTCAAAAATCCCCCCCGGACAGGCATCCCATTTGTTTTCAAAAAATTTCTTCTTTAACCCTTTTCCCAAATTTTGGAAATGGTTAAGGGAGCCCTTCTTATTGCATAGGCCGGGTTTTTTGGTTTTTTCAACAATAACTTAAGAATTCAGGATTACGAAACAAATAACCCCAAAACTTAAAAACTTTATTTAGAGTTTTAGCTTTAAAGTTAAATTTGTTTGATTAACATTTAAAAAAAGGAGTTTAACTCTTATTTTCTCTTGGTACATACTAGTACATTGATTGAATAAATGAACCTCTTGAGGTTGAGCTCTTTTTACTAAAATTTTACAAATAAAATGCCCCCTAAAAAGGGTTTTTAAAAACCCAGCCACCCAAAATAACTTACAATTTATTTAAAAACTTATTTTGAAATATCAATTTAGAGTATACCCAAAAACTGTAAGTGACGGACTTGTCTCATAAAACCCCTCCAACGAAATAAGAAAAACTTAGACCACAAATTAACATCAAGGCCCAAAAAGGGTTATTCATCCCCCGAAAAAATTAATTTACCCCGAGTATAAAAACTCGAAAGGGGGACAAAGTTAAGAAAAAAACTCAATCACGAAAGAAAACGACCACAAGAGGAACTTGACATTAGAGTGAGGTGAGAGCGCTAGTCAAAAGGGGAGTGTGAAAAGGGCCTGCTTCCCTGAGTGCTGTAAAATACTTGGGTAGTGAACCTACTCAGACCCAAGGGGGGTGAAACCCTCTCAGTAAGGGGTAGTGAACCTGCTCTGAGGGAAGGGCTGAGAACCAAATCAGTAAGAGTAGTGAACCTCTCTGAGCGAGGGCGGTGAACCTACTGCCGGTACCACTGAGTGGTAAGCCGACGTCACGTTGGTCAAGTGACTGAGGGAGACCTCAGTACCTGAACTGCTAACCGGCACTTAAACCTAGTGGTTTCCCACTACATGGAAATATTAAGAACTGCTAACAAAACATAATACAATACAATATTAACATTAGCATATATATTATAAAATAAAGGAGCATATTCTATTATAAAATAAAACGGGTATGGCCATACTCGTAACACTGTCTGACTATTCAGTCTTTTGCTACTGGTGACCTTCAAACCTATACTGTGACAACCTGGCTAATCAGGCACCTTTTGTAGAAACCTCTTTAGTTATCTCATAAAAACTTTTACTTTTATTTGCTGATGGAAGGTTGAGAAATCATGGACCTCTGATGAGAAATGTTTAATAAATGAGGCAGCATTTGAAGAAACTAAATCAATAGGGATAAGGAACAGAGTTGCTAAAAAAAAAATGGGGGGTTGATATAGTAGTAGTGGTAAAAATACAAATGCTGCCGAAATTAGAATCGAAAATTAAAAGGATGTAGAAATTTTTAAGAAATTCATATATATAAGGTTTGTTGAATATAACCTTACCATTTCTATATATTTATAGCATTTTACATCATAGACTTTTCAGCAGTAATGTATATTCATAAGCAAAGTAAACATTGATTACTCTAATAACATCTTACCTTCAAAATTATAGTATGTCTTTGTTTAGTTAATATTATTTAATTTTATAGCATTCTGCATATTTGATATTTATGTTTCAGCGAATTTAAACCAGAAACTTGTTAGATAAGAGCATTTACAATTTGAAAAATCAGTCCTTGGAATTTGCAGCATTGACTTTTCAGTATTATTTTTTGCCCTTTTGCAGAGTAAAACGATATGCCACTGCCAGATGTAAAAAGCTGTAAATTTAAATTGTTACCCAATTTTTCCAAAATTCATGTAAAGAGGATTCACATAAATCTAATATGCTGTGAAAAGCATTATGATGCAAGAATTTCCACTCGGTCATATTTGTTGCCATCACTGAGAACTCTCTTGCTAGAAATTTGGGCAGAAAAAGCAGTGTTTTCTCCCAATTGTTCTTACCCTCCAGCTACTCCCTCCCCGTCACTTCAGATATATGACAAGGTACTTAACCAAGATAATATCAGATTTGCAAATTTGTATTCAACAGAATGCTTAATGCTTTTACACTTCATCATTCAGTGAATTTAGGACAAGAATTTCCAGAGCTTGCTTTTCAGTCACTGAAGTGTAACTGTAATAGTTGTTTTGATTTTATAAAACAAATCGTAACTTAGAGTTGCTTACTTGTCATAAGACCTTGTGGACAAATTTCAGATTGGGGGTCTGGACCCTGAAAGGGTAAAGACCATATGCAAGAAAATCTGATGATACAACAAATATTTGAGGGTCATTAAAACATGGAAACAAGTCATATTGTTAGATTTTTGGGGGATAGAATAAGGCATCTTTCTGCCAGCTTCACACCCTGTTTGCTGGTAGGGATGGGACAATAGGTTCTGGTTGTATTATTTACAGGTGCTAGTGAGGCATTGTTACCCCATGATGCACCACATGAACCCACCTGGTATTAGTTTTTTTCCAGGTGTGAGGAGGTGGTACCAGACCCAAACAGTTGAGCTGAAGCCTAAAGTGGCAGCAGATAACATGTTTGAAAGCTACAGATAAAATCTGGAATTATGGACTTTTTCCATTTTGCTTGATCATTCAAATGTTTGTCCAGCCAATTTGTTGTCAGGAATTTCTGAAATCCATTAAATGGGGGTCTGTTAATTAGATGTTTCACTGGTGGTTGATGTCTACTATTCTACTACTTAGTACTGTACTGTACTAACTTATACAGTTGCATTTTACTAATCTACCTATACTAGTACCTCTCTAGATTAATACAGTGAAACCTCAATTTAAGGACTGCAATTTAATGGATTTTGGATTAAATGGAAAAAATCTGTGGCCAGGAAACATTGAACAAAATTTGTTAAATTCCAAATTATTACCTGTTAATTAGGTTCACTCCTAGGTAGTAGGTAGTGAGTGTACAACGAAAACCTGTAATTGTTTTACATGATGGTAGGATTGCTGGTGTCTTTTGTCTGTCTCATAAACATGCAAGATTTCAGGTATGTCTCGCTACTTCTACTTGCACTTAGGTCACTCTATACATACATGTACAAACATATATATACACACCCCTCTGGGTATTCTTCTATTTTTTTTCTAGTTCTTGTTCTTGTTTATTTCCTCTTATCTCCATGGGGAAGTGGAACAGAATTCTTCCTCCATAAGCCATGTGTGTTGTAAGAGATGACTAAAATGCTGGGAGCAAGGGGCTTGTAACCCCTTCTCCCGTATAAATTACTAAATTTAAAAGAGAAACTTTCGTTTTTCTTTTTGGGCCACCCTGCCTTGGTGGGATACAGCCGGTGTGTTGAAAGAAAGAAAGAATTAGATTCACTGGACAAATTGATTTCAGATTTACTGAACAAAGTCCATTAAATCCAGAATTATCTGTTCGTGTGGTAAATTTGTCAGATTTAACAGACAAAGCTCTTTAAATCCAGAATTATTCAGTGTTGTTTCAGTAATGGAATAACAATCTCATCACTTGGATTTAATGGACAATCAACACTAATAGACACCCTTCCCCACTGTTAGTTTGTTAAATCAAGGTTTCACTGTACTGAGAAAGTGGTACAGTATTCAGATTTTTTAAATGGTGTTATCATTAAATGGATCATTAATTTGTCTATATGTGAATTGATGGTTTGTTTTATTCCTTTTCCAACAGGTGGAATGATGGTTTAGATGAATACCGTTTAACACCTATGGAGCTTCGTGCCAAATTCCGACAAATGGGTTCTGATGCAGTTTTTGCTTTCCAGTTGCGAAATCCTATACATAATGGCCATGCCCTTCTCATGCAGGCATGTTATTTAATTTAGTATTATGCATTCTTTGATATTATAAATATATATTGACATGTTTTAATAATTTATTCATAAAATCAGGTAACACTCCTTCCTGTATAGGTGACCTTGAAAAGAAACATCCACAAATGTTTCTATGCCTTAGAATTAATGTTGCAGGATCACTTACAAGTGTTATAATTATGTAGAAAATGTGATAAAGGCTAAAATGTTAGGATATGGAAAGTAGAGATAAGGTAATAAAAATTGATGAAAGGGCCCCAAAAAAAGAGCAAATGAAAGAATGGGTGACGACTTTTTAAAATATTTTACTGAAATTAAAAAAAAAAAGTGTTTTATAAAAAAAAAAGATAAGGAAAACAAAATAAATATAGTTATTGGACAAAATGATCTGAACACCTTGTTATGTAACTTTTTGTTTTCAATTTGGACTGGGTCTTCCATTTGCAGCTAAAACGGCACCAGTTCATCGAGGAATTGATTCATCCAGGCAGCCCTGTTTTACAGTGCTTTGCTTTACAGCTTTTCATTAATGCAGTGGTTTTTAATTAGTATATCCATTCTTCATTTATTCAGACTTCATACAATAAATATATTCACCACTCACTATAAGCTAAAGACAAAAATATTTTAAGGTAAGTATTGTGTGTACTGTATACGTATTTTTTAGGCCTAGATCTATTGCTCATTTAATTTATGATAGTGTAAACATGTTATCAGACATATGCATTTGGGAGTGAAAAAAAAGGCTGTTTCACCTTACAGCGATTTTCATTTTACAGCAGTAGCCTGGAACCTAACCTGCCGTATAAGCAGGGGCCCTCCTGTATAGCACATGAACAGTATCCAGGGGAACTTTGAGCCATTCCTCAAGCAAAACCTTCTCTACTTTTTCCAAGGGAAAAAATTGGTTCCTGACTTGATGTTCCAATTGACCCCACAGATGCTTGATAATATTTAGATCCGATAATTGAAGGGGCTCATAACCCCTTCTGTATATATTACTAAATTTAAAAGGAGAAACTTACGTTTTTACTTTTGAGCCACCCTGCCTCGGTGGGATATGGTCAGTTTGTTGAAAGAAGAAGAATTGTGGGGGTCCATCCAAGTGTTCAACTTCACTTTCATGTTCTTCATGCCAGTTTTGAACAACTCTAGCAGTGTGAATTGGTGCATTATTATCTTGGGAGAGAACACATTTAACACATTAAAATTTATTATTTAGTTATTTGACAGTTTGAATGACTAAATAATGACTTATTATTTTGTCCAACCCTTGTATATCCATATTTTATGAGTGAAAGAAGTTAGGTACTGAATAAGAACTTAGAGTAATTGAAGAAATGGAGAGAATTTTTTAAGAAATTGTTGCTTGGGTCAAGGAGGAATGATTTCAGGCCAGGAAGATGCATGAATGATGCAGTAAAAATGCTTGACTTTAATTACTCATCTTGAAAATAATAGGTATTCAGTGGGTCTTTTTGCTGATCAGAGAAAAGTTTTTGATACAGTAGATGACAATATACATAAAGTAGATGGTCTCACATACATCAAGTTCTACCATAATAACAGATGCTAACATATTGCCATTAATGACATCAATCCAGCCTAATGTAGGGGTGCCACAGGGCAGCATTCTAGACCTTCTTTCATTTATCATCCATATCAGTAACCAACCTGCTGCCTCCCAGTTCTGTTTGTAGAAGACAAACTTTTGTCATCTCAAATCTGGACTCATTATAAAGATATCTACTTGGATGACAACCAAAAATTCTCACTTAGTATTGATAAAACCTACTACATGGTGTATGGGAACAAAGCTTAAAATATTCATTTGAACATGAAAGTTAATAATACATGTATTGAAAGATAAGGGAAGAGAAAATTCTTCAGCATATACCTGAACATCAAACAAAAATTTAATGCTCACATCCAGCACATAGCCTAGGTAGTAGGTTGGTAGACAGCAACCGCCCAGGGAGGTACTACCGTCCTGCCAAGTGAGTGTAAAACGAAAGCCTGTAATTGTTTTACATGATGGTAGGATTGCTGGTGTCTTTTTTTCTGTCTCATGAACATGCAAGATTTCAGGTAGGTCTTGCTACTTCTACTTACACTTAGGTCACACTACACATACATGTACAAGCACATATATACACACCCCTCTGGGTTTTCTTCTATTTTCTTTCTAGCTCTTATTCTTGTTTATTTCCTCTTATCTCCATGGGGAAGTGGAACAGAATTCTTCCTCCGTAAGCCATGCGTGTTGTAAGAGGCGACTAAAATGCCGGGAGCAAGGGGCTAGTAACCCCTTCTCCTGTATAAATTATTAAATTTGAAAAGAGAAACTTTTGTTTTTCTTTTTGGGCCACCCTGCCTCGGTGGGATACGGCCGGTTTGTTGAAAAAAAAAAAAAATCCAGCACATAGCTAAGATAATTTAAGAAATTGTGAGCATACTTTCAAAAAATTTTATTATGTACCTCAAACATCATTAGTCAGTCTGTATTACTCTAATCTATCCTTACTTCATGTATGGTATATGTGCATAGGGATATACAACAACAAATCACTTGAAGGTGATTTGTTGTTGTAGATCCCCATGCACATATACAGTGGCCTAAACACATTATGTAGATCCCCATGCACATTACAATGGCCTTTAGGCCAAAAACTTGCTGTAAGAATGATCACTAACTCAGCTTCCAGACAAGACACACTCCCACTGAAGAAAAAGAATACTGTAATTGTAAAGGGGAACTGTTATAATTGAGGAGAATCAGAAGCTGAAGTAACTCATGGCTGGTTTATTACTGGTGGAAATAACAATACAACAGCAGATGTTATAACCCCTAGCCAGAAGTATAAATGATATAGAATTACATTTCATTTCTCAATACCCAACATTCCCTCTCTTATAAATTGCATTATAATAAAAAAATGCAGTTACAGTATAATTGTTATGGGACTATGGGACCCAACACATATTGATGTATATAAGTAACAGTTACTCTGGAATACCTAATTATATTGAATTGCTGGAGACATAGCACTAAATGTCATAAGGGCAGATCACCCTTATGGCTGTAAGGCAGCTGAGTCAAGCACAAACTTGGTAATGAAAGCATAACCTTCATGATTACAAGTTGAGCCAATCTGGTGGTTTTACTACCCTGCCTGAAGGTCTAAGAGATGGAGTTTGTAAATCTGCAATGTTAGAAGAATCTTCCTACCTACCTACCTCTGTCCTTACTATCCACACTTACATCCAATGCTGGCTCTAAATTATTCTGCACCACTTTATTATTTTCTTCAATTCCAGAAGCTACTACTACTGAGCCAGGAGTCTACCTCTCTAAATGTCCAAACCACCTCAACAACCCTTCCTCTGCCCTCTGGATAATACTTTTAGAAACTCTGCACCTCCTCCTAATCTCCAAGATACAGATTCTCTGCATTGTATTCACACCACATATTGCCTTCAGGCACGACATTTCTACTGCCTCCAGCCTTCTCCTTGTTGCAACATTCTCTGCCCATGCTTCAAACCCATATAGGAGCATTGGTACCACTATACTCTCATATGTTCTCCTCTTTTGCTTCTGTAGATGACATTCTTTGTCTCCACAGACTCCATGGTACTCCACTTACTTTTTCCCCTCATCAATTCTATGATTTGCCTTGTCTTTCATAGACCCACCTGCTGACAAGTCCACTCCCAAATATCTGAATACATTCACTTCCTCCATACTCCCTCCCTCCAGTCTGATATCCAATCTTTCATTACCTAAATTTTTTATGTTCATCACCTTGCTCTTTCCTACGTTCATTCTTAATTTCCTTCTTTAACATACCCTTCCTAACTCGTTCACCAGCCTCTGCAACTTCTCTTTTGAATCTCCCTAAAGCACAGTGTCATCTGCAAAAAGTATCTTTGACAACTCCCACTTAGTGTTAAATTCCTTATCTCTTAATCCCACACCTCTTGCCATCACTCGAGCATTCACTTCTCTTACAATTCCATCTTTAAATATATTGAACAACCGTGATGACATCACACATCCCTGTTTAAAACCTACTTTTACTGGGAAATAATCTCCATCTCTCCTACATAATCTAACCTGAGCCTCACTATCCTCAAGAAACTTAACTGCTTTAAGTGACCTACCACCTATTCCATATATTTCCAACATCTGTCACATTGCTCTCCTATCTACCCTATCATATGCCTTTTCCAAATTCATAAATGCAAAAAAATCTTTATCCTTATTTAAATACTGTTCACCTATATGCTTCATTGTAAACACTTGGTCTACACACCCCATACCCTTCCTAAACCTCCTTGTTCATAATGCTCTTAATTCTTCAATAATAACTCTACCATACACTTTACCATGTATACTCAACAGGCTTATTCCTCTATAATTTTTACACATTTTTGTCCCCTTTGCCTTTATACAAAGGAACTATGCATTCTCTCTACCAATCCCTAGGTACCTTCCCTCTTCCATTCCAAAACTATATCCCCACCTGCTTTTAACATTTGTCTTTATCCCATGAATCCCAGCTGCTTTACCTCCCGTTCATTCTACCTACTTCCTCAAGCACCTCCCAAACACTCAAAACTGACTCCTCCTCACCCCCACAAGATGTTATATCTCTCTGCCCAATGCACGAAATCACAACTTCCCTATCTTCAACATTTAACAGTTCATCAAAATATTCCCTCCAACTCTCCATCTACACTTCAGATTTTCTGCATAATATTCACCACACACATGACATCTTTACTATCTCAGGCCTCCTCTTTGCTTCATAGTTTAAAGCCATATCTCATAACTATAAAAGTGTTGGTACCACTGTACTCTGATACATTTCCCTTTTTGCCTCCATAGATAAACTTTTCTTTCCACAAATGCCTGAACACACTACCAAACTTTTTCTCCTAGTCTGTTCTATGCTTCACCTTATCTCTCAGATCCATCTTCCATAGGAGGGTATCTCCCGTACTATTATATTTTTCCCATAGTTCTTCACTGCGATTAACAAGTTAAGGAAGCCTAGAGAACAAATGGATTTGTCAGTTAAAAATAGGAGAGGAGAGTTATTAAATGGAGAGTTAGAGGTATTGGGAAGATGGAGGGAATATTTTGAGGAATTGTTAAATGTTGATGAAGATAGGGAAGCTGTGATTTCGTGTATAGGGCAAGGAGGAATAACATCTTGTAGGAGTGAGGAAGAGCCAGTTGTGAGTGTGGGGGAAGTTCGTGAGGCAGTAGGTAAAATGAAAGGGGGTAAGGCAGCCAGGATTGATGGGATAAAGATAGAAATGTTAAAAGCGGGTGTGGATATAGTTTTGGAGTGGTTGGTGCAATTATTTAATAAATGTATGGAAGAGGGTAAGGTACCTAGGGATTGGCAGAGAGCATGCATAGTTCCTTTGTATAAAGGCAAAGGGGACAAAAGAGAGTGCAAAAATTATAGGGGGATAAGTCTGTTGAGTATACCTGGTAAAGTGTATGGTAGAGTTATTATTTAAAGAATTAAGAGTAAGACGGAGAATGGGATAGCAGATGAACAAGGAGGCTTTAGGAAAGGTAGGGGGTGTGTGGACCAGGTGTTTACAGTGAAACATGTAAGTGAACAGTACAGTGGACCCCCGCATAGCGACTTTAATCCGTGCAAGAGTGCTCATTGTTATGCGAAATGATTGGTATGCGAATGAATTTTCCCCATAAGAAATAATGGAAATCAAATTAATCCGTGCAAGACACCCAAAAGTATGAAAAAAAAATTTTTACCACATGAAATATATATTTTCCTACACACAAAGAGAAGGATACATGCACACTAGTAGAGTAGTACATGCACAATATATATTGTGCATGTACTACTCTACTAAATGAAGAATAAATGACACTTACCTTTATTGAAGATGCAGCAATGACTGATGAGACACTGTGTCCTGGGAGTGCCTTTTCCTCCTGAGTACTGTAGGTCCTGTTTGGCATTTTCTTCCAGAACAGGCCTTATCACACTGTGTATGCCACTACGATTCTTAAATCTCTCAAACCAACCTTTGCTGGCTTTAAATTCACCAATATGAGCACTAGTTCCAGGCATTTTTCCCTGTTCACCTGGGTGTTAGTCGACTGGTGTGGGTTGCATCCTGGGAGACAAGATTAAGGACCCCAATGGAAATAAGTTAGTCTTCGATGACACTGACTTTTTTGGGTTATCCTGGGTGGCAAATCCTCTGGGGTTAATTGTTTCTTGGTATTCTCAATAAGCCACACCAACAACGGTGCTACAGCAGCAGCAGCAGCTGACAGTGCTACAGCAGCAGCAGCAGCTGACAGTGCTACAGCAGCAGCAGCAGCTGACAGTGCTACAGCAGCAGCAGACGATGCTACAGCAGCAGCAGACGGTACTACAGCAGCATCTGACGGTGGTACAGCAGCAGCAGCAGCTGACAGTGCTACAGCAGCAGCAGACGATGCTACAGCAGCAGCAGACGGTACTACAGCAGCAGCTGACGGTGGTACAGCAGCAGCAGCAGCTGACAGTGCAGCAGCAGCAGCAGCAGCTGTACCACCAATAGTAGCGATGGTTGATTGGGGTTTATTATACAACCTGGCCAGCTCGGAGACACGCACTCCACTTTCATACTTATCAATGATCTTTTTCTTCATCTCTATAGTAATTCTCACCCTTATTGCTGTAGGGTTGGCACTAGAAGCTTTCTTGGGGCCCATGGTCACTTATTTTGCAGATAAAATCACCAAAAACACTGTAATAATACGAAATGTTCCGATTGTATGCTTGGATGTTACCGCGGAGGCTGGCTGGTAAACAATGCCACCGGCGGCACATGTGAGGCTGGCTAAGGGCGCACATTGGACGCGTCTCGGACGAAGAGCGGTGAGCGGGTTTTTGAGCGGTATGCGAGGCAAAATTTTTGCGATAAAAGCGAGTGGTATGCGGATTAAACGTTATGTGATGCGTACGGTATGCGGGGGTCCACTGTATTTAGATAAGGCTAAAGAGGTCTTTGTGACATTTATGGATTTGGAAAAGACGTATGACAGGATGGATAGGGGGGCAATGTGGCAGATGTATGGTGTAGGAGGTAGGTTACTGAAAGCAGTGAAGAGTTTTTACGAGGATAGTGAGGCTCAAGTTAGAGTATGTAGGAAAGAGGGAAATTATTTCCCAGTAAAAGTAGGCCTTAGACAAGGATGTGTGATGTCACCGTGGTTGTTTAATATATTTATAGATGGGGTTGTAAGAGAAGTAAATGCGAGGGTCTTGGCAAGAGGGGTGGAGTTAAAAGATAAAGAATCACACTTAAAGTGGGAGTTGTCACAGTTGCTCTTTGCTGATGACACTGTGCTCTTGGGAGATTCTGAAGAGAAGTTGCAGAGATTGGTGGATGAATTTGGTAGGGTGTGCAAAAGAAGAAAATTAAAAGTGAATACAGGAAAGAGTAAGGTTATGAGGATAAAAAGATTAGGTGATGAAAGATTGGATATCAGATTGGAGGGAGAGAGTATGGAGGAGGTGAATGTATTCAGATATTTGGGAGTGGACGTGTCAGCGGATGGGTCTATGAAAGATGAGGTGAATCATAGAATTGATGAGGGGAAAAGGGTGAGTGGTGCACTTAGGAGTCTGTGGAGACAAAGAACTTTGTCCTTGGAGGCAAAGAGGGGAATGTATGAGAGTATAGTTTTAACCAATGCTCTTATATGGGTTTGTGAAGCATGGGTGATGAATGTTGCAGCGAGGAGAAGGCTGGAGGCAGTTGAGATGTCATGTCTGAGGGCAATGTGTGGTGTGAATATAATGCAGAGAATTCGTAGTTTGGAAGTTAGGAGGAGGTGCGGGATTACCAAAACTGTTGTCCAGAGGGCTGAGGAAGGGTTGTTGAGGTGGTTCGGACATGTAGAGAGAATGGAACGAAACAGAGTGACTTCAAGAGTGTATCAGTCTGTAGTGGAAGGAAGGCGGGGTAGGGGTTGGCCTAGGAAAGGTTGGAGGGAGGGGGTAAAGGAGGTTTTGTGTGCGAAGGGATTGGACTTCCAGCAGGCATGCGTGAGTGTGTTTGATAGGAGTGAATGGAGACAAATGGTTTTTAATACTTGACGTGCTGTTGGAGTGTGAGCAAAGTAACATTTATGAAGGGGCTCAGGGAAACCGGCAGGCCGGACTTGAGTCCTGGAGATGGGAAGTACAGTGCCTGCACTCTGAAGGAGGGGTGTTAATGATGCACTAAAAAAAACTGTAGTGTAAAGCACCCTTCTGGCAAGACAGTGATGGAGTGAATGATGGTGAAAGTTTTTCTTTTTCGGGCCACCCTGCCTAGGTGGGAATCAGCCAGTGTGATAATAAAAAAATAAATAATTTTTCACTGTAAGTAGCATGCATTTATACAATGTGGCAATTTTCAGGAATATAATCTACATGTTATGAGAGAGCGCACAGTATTATAAAAAAGCATTTACTCATTATTCCTGCAGGATACACGTCAGCAACTGTTAGAACGTGGCTATCACAACCCAGTCCTGCTGCTTCATCCACTTGGAGGATGGACTAAGGATGATGATGTGCCTCTGAAGATCCGGATGGAGCAACATCATGCAGGTCAGCATTTCTTCTGTATTTAGACAATATAAAAATATAAAAACAATATAAAAATAAGTTTACTGAGTATACCAGGAAAAGTGTACGGTAGGGTTGTTATTGAAAGAACTATAGGTAAGACAGAACGTAGGATTGCAGATGAGCAAGGAGGTTTCAGAGTGGGTAAGGGATGTGTATATCTAGTGTTTACATTGAAGCATATATGTGAACAGTATTTAGATAAAGGTAGGGAAGTTTTTATTGCATTTATGGATTTAGAAAAGGCATATGATAGTGAATAGGGGAGCGATGTGGCAGATGTTGCAAGTATATGGAATAGGTGGTAAGTTACTAAATGCTGTAAAGAGTTTTTATGAGGATAGTGAGGCTCAGGTTAGGGTGTGTAGAAGAGAGGGAGACTACTTCCCGGTAAAAGTAGGTCTTAGACAGGAATGTGTAATGTCACCATGGTTGTTTAATATATTTATAGATGTGGTTGTAAAAGAAGTAAATGCTAGGGTGTTAGGGAGAGGGGGGGGGATTAAATTATGGGGAATCAAATACAAAATGGGAATTGACACTGTTACTTTTTGCTGATGATACTGTGCTTATGGGAGATTCTAAAGAAATGTTGCAAAGGTTAGTGGATGAATTTGGGAGTGTGTGTAAAGTTAGAAAGTTGAAAGTGAACATAGAAAAGAGTAAGGTGATGAGGGTATCAAATGATTTAGATAAAGAAAAACTGGATATCAAATTGGGGAGGAGGAGTATGGAAGAAGTGAATGTTTTCAGATGCTTGGGAGTTGACGTGTCAGCGGATGGATTTATGAAGGATGAGGTTAATCATAGAATTGATGAAGGAAAAAAGGTGAGTGGTGCGTTGAGGTATATGTGGAGTCAAAAAACATTATCTATAGAGGCAAAGAAGGGAATGTATGAAAGTATAGTAGTACCAACACTCTCATATGGGTGTAAAGCTTGGGTTGTGAATGCAGCAGTGAGGAGGCGGTTGGAGGCAGTGGAGATGTCCTGTTTAAGGGCAATGTGTGGTGTAAATATTATGCCGAAAATTCGGAGTGTGGAAATTTGGAGGTGTGGAGTTAATAGAAGTATTAGTCAGAGGGCTGAAGAGGGGTTGTTGAGGTGGTTTGGTCATTTAGAGAGAATGGATCAAAGTAGAATGACATGGAGAGCATTTAAATCTGTAGGAGAAGGAAGGCGGGGTAGGGGTCGTCCTCGAAAAGGTTGGAAGGAAGGGGTAAAGGAGGTTTTGTGGGCGAGGGGCTTGGACTTCCAGCAGGCGTGCATGAGCGTGTTCGATATGAGCGAATGGAGACGAATGGTATTTGGGACCTGACTATCTGTTGGAGTGTGAGCAGGGTAATATTTAGTGAAGGGATTCAGGGAAACCGGTTATTTTTATATAGCCGGACTTGAGTCCTGGAAATGGGAAGTACAATGCCTGCACTCTAAAGGAGGGTTTCAGGATATTAGCAGTTTGGAGGGATATGTTGTGTATCTTTATACGTATATGCTTCTAAACTGTTTGTTCTGAGCACCTCTGCAAAAACAGTGATTATGTGTGAGTGAGGTGAAAGTGTTGAATGATGATGAAAGTATTTTCTTTTTGGGGATTTTCTTTCTTTTTGGGTCACCCTGCCTCGGTGGGAGACGGCCGACTTGTTGAAAAAAAAAAATGATTTGAGGCCATACTTAAGTCCTGGAGGTGGGAAGTACAGTGTCTGCATTCTGAAGGAGGGGGTGTTAATGTTGCAGTTTCATAACTGTAGTGTAAGTGTGCCTCTGGCAAGAGAGTGATGGAGTGAATGATGATGAAAGTTTTTCTCTTTCGGGCCACCCTGCCTTGGTTTGAGAATGCTGATGTGTTAATAAAAAAAAAATTGCACTTTACATGCAGAGTCAGTATAATAAACATCCATTTACATAATGACAGAGACAGTTGACTGTAAGATTAAATTATATCAATCCATTTTTGTCTTTATTCATTCATTCTGTTTCTACGATTAAGTCACACGTCAGTTGGCCTCAGTCACATCTGTAAACAACACTGAGTAAAGTATAGGGTCATACTTCTTGATGGGTTTTTATATAGTTACACTCGCCTTATACAGGTCCTCCATCACAAATCCGGCACCATTGGGACCTGTAGTGTGCCGGATTACTGAGTTTGCCGGATTACAGAGTGGTTAGGTTAGAATACACTTAATAAAATTAACCAACTTGACTTTCACAAAGTTCACTGAACATCGGCAAAAATCGACCACTCCCGCTACTTTGAGCTCATTTTCAAGGTACTTTTCGTCATGAAAGCAATCAAAATCATGTCTTTTTCTGTAATATATCTTCCATTCTATCAAATGAGACCAAAAAAACGAGAATACAACCATAAAAACCATGCTAAAATATACCGCAAAGAGGCAGCTAATGGCTGAGAAGTGAATTTCCTTATTTATCATCCGTCTTTTTTATTTTTGTTGTACGTTAAGAAGCATCTTTCCATCATACATTGCCCAAGTTTCAATAAGACAGCCCAACAAACAACTGAGAGAAAAAAATATTTACTAAAAATCATATATGGCAAGCCCAAGCCAGGTACTGGAAATAAGTCACTTTGTCTGACTTATTTGGGTTATCCTAGGTTTTCCATACATACACTGCTATGTATGATAATCTTTGTAACTGTATTTGTGTATACCTGAATAAACTTATTTACTTCTAGTCTGTCGGCTGAGTACAAGAAACCGCCCATTCACTTATTTCAACTACCCAATATAGTGGTCAGAAATTGGCAATTTGGCCAATTTCACACAAATTTCAACGGATGCCAGTTTCAAAATAGGGTCCAGAATAAACAATGCAGACATTCCTGGCACTAAATAACATTTTCTCTGTTCATTAGTCACGGCTGCAGGCCCCTCATATATTACTCTTGCTTTCCATTTGGAATTTTTATTCACAAAATATAGAAGATTTACTGTTATGCAGACTGCTGCATTATTGTAATACAGTGGACCCCCGGTATTCGATATTAATCCGTTCCTGAGAGCTCATCGAGTACCGATAATATCGAAAACCGAATCAATTTTCCTCATAAGAAATAATGGAAATCAAATTAATCTGTGCAAGACACCCAAAAGTATGAAAAAAAAAATTTTTACTACATGAAATATTAAGTTTAATGCAATAGAATAATTACAATAACAATATAATAATTGACACTTACCTTTAATGAAGATCTGGTGATGATTGATGGGATGGGAGGAGGGGAGAGGTGTTAGTGTTTAGAAGGGGAATCCCCTTCCATTAGGACTTGAGGTAGCAAGTCCTTTTCTGGGGTTACTTCTCTTCTTCTTTTAATGCCACTAGGACCTGGAGTTTACCTGGAGAGAGTTCCGGGGGTCAACGCCCCCGCGGCCCGGTCTGTGACCAGGCCTCCTGGTGGATCAGAGCCTGATCAACCAGCCTGTTGCTGCTGGCTCCACGCAAACCAACGTACGAGCCACAGCCCGACTGGTCAGGAACCGACTTTAGGTGCTTGTCCAGTGCCAGCTTGAAGACTGCCAGGGGTCTGTTGGTAATCCCCCTTACATATGCTGGGAGGCAGTTGAACAGTCTCGGGCCCCTGACACTTATTGTATGGTCTCTTAACATGCTAGTGACACCCCTGCTTCTCATTGGGGGGATGTTGCATCGTCTGCCAAGTCTTTTGCTTTCGTAGTGAGAGATTTTCGTGTGCAAGTTCGGTACTAGTCCCTCTAGGATTTTCCAGGTGTATATAATCATGTATCTCTCCCGCCTGCGTTCCAGGGAATACAGTTTTAGGAACTTCAGCCGCTCCCAGTAATTGAGGTGTCACTTGAGAGTCACTGGACTTCTGTCGCACAACATAACTGGCAGCCTCACCATGCCTAATCACACTATGTATGCCACTACGATTCTTAAATCTTTCAAACCAACCTTTGCTGGCCTTAAATTCACTCACATCACCACTAGTTGCAGGCAATTTCTTTACCAAATCGTCATGCAACTGCCTAGCCTTTTCACAAATGATCGCTTGAGAGATGCTATCTCCTGCGATCTGTTTTTCATTTATCCACACCAATAACAATCTCTCAACATTTTCTAACACTTGCGGTCGCTGTTTCATAATCACAGTTGCACCTTTTGCAAGAAAAGCTTCTTTGATTGCCGTTTTCCTGGTCACTATAGTAGAGATGGTTGATTGGGTTTATTATACAACCTGACCAGCTCCGACACACGCACTCCACTTTCGTACTTTGCAATTATCTCTTTCTTCATTTCATAAGTCATTAGCGACTTTTTTCTCGAAGGGTTGGCACAAGAAGCTTTCTTGGGGCCCATGGTGACTTATTTTGCAGAAACAAGCACCAAACACAGTGATAATATGGATAATATGGAATGTACCGAATGTATCCTTAGATGCGCACACACTGGCTGGCTTGTAAACACTAGCACACACGGGGCAGTTCAGGCTACACGTGGACAGGTCTCGTACGAATCGTATCGAATACCGGGTTTTCAATCGAATACCGAGGAAAATTTTTTGCGTTAAAATGCATCGAAAACCAGATTTATCGAATACCGATGACATCGAATACCGGGGGTCCACTGTAATTGTATAAATAATGTCAACTCATTCTTGACTCCGTATTGGAATTTGGGCTGGCAGGCGGACAGGTATTGGACGGTTTATTCTTGTGCTTCGCTAAAGAATAGAACATTTTCGCTACTGTGAGTGCAATTTCAAGGTACTTTTCGTCATAAAAGCAATCAAAATCATATCTATTTCTATAATATATCTTTCATTTTATCAATGAGACCGAGAAAACGAGAATATAACCATAACAACCATACAAAAATATACCGCTAAGCGGCCGCTAATGGCTGATGGGGGAACATACACAACAGGTGTAAAGAAACACGCCCAGTGTTTCTACCCTGGCTGGGAATCGAATATTTACCAAAAATCATATATGTAT